AAAAACCGCCAATTATAAGCGTAGTAAAAGTTTTGTGGCGTGTCACCACAAAATGTCGGTGTGTGGTGTCAGAGATACAACCGGTGCGACAACAGCTATAATACCGCTTATCGGTGAAATAGTCTACTTACGTGGCACACGACAGGCGGTATTTTTACAGGGACAGGGCCAACAACAGTAGTGCCAATGACCGAGGTCAGTAACCATAGTAATAAATATTGAGTACAACTATGCGTCCAGAGAAATATACAATATAAATAAAAATTATAAGTACATTAAGAACAAAGGAGAAACAACTGCGGCGAAGACAAAAAATATTTGTTTTCTATCCCTTTGATTACGACAATTACAAACATTATTACCTGTCAGTGCGTCATATGGTGCGATAGACAGTGTATATGAACATTAAGTCGGTCTCTTTATCAAGCTTATACAAATACGGTTTACAGAGATGAAACATGATGGCTGGTGACAGTGATGTAATGTGAACGTGTGATTCAAAATTGATTAGAAAACAAAATCAGTACAGTAAACAATTGTTCCCCCCCCAAAAAAACGCTTAATCAATACCAGCGATACTGATTACTTTTAGAAATAGTGTCCGAGTCCACTAACTCATTAATTCCAACTATTTCAAACTTTTTATAATATGTATAATGAAATATATCTAATGTTTTTGATGGAAAAAAATAAATTATAAATACAGTTTACTCCCATCGCACGTACATGAACACTTTGTCTAATGGTGGAGTACTACCTACATTCACCGTCAGTCAGACATTCATATGATAACAGCGGTACACGCAGCATTGAGCCGAGCCTAAGTTCAGAAGGTAAAGTGACACGTGTCATTGTATAGCAATACAAATTATTTCCCGTATAAATATGCAAAACACTAAGTGTTTGCAAATTTAAAATCTGTATATAGGATTAAAAGTTACCTTGTCACGCTTTGTTGGCAACATGCTACCTTCCACCGTCTCGCCAATAATCCAATATCAGTCAGTCGCCAACAAATGATACAAACAAACAATATACAAATTGTTATAAATGGTTTCGTTCCGTACTGCCTGTTGACATTTAATAATGATTATCATAAGTTACATACATCGTCTTGATTTGTTGTACACCATGATGCCATATTCGATTGATTCACTTTAGTATATTAATAGTGCGTACCAGTAATTCTGATCGCATGTGAAGTTACAGAGTTTATAACTAGTGTCTTGTTCACGACCAAAACTATTATAAAAGTTTAACAATACACCATCATGTTTATATCACAGCATACTTGAAATTAGATTGAACAGGAGTCACCATATGAGCGTGCACAGACTGTTTATTCGACACCCTAGGATGATGAAAAGATTCAACCGGGTAATTCGGCATTTATCTAATGCGATAGACTAAGCTGTGGGCTCTAGTCGTTTACAGTCATTGATTTACGTTGCGTTATTTTTTTAATTTCATAAAAGAACACTCGCGCCGTTAAACTGTTTTAATAACTTTCCGATGTAACCTGGCACGTATATTTAGTGGGCGGTGTGAGCTCTGCACTTTTTGTTGCACGTCACCGGGGTATGCAAACATCCTTGAACAATGAATGAAACTAATAATACATTATAATAACAGAAATGATTAACAAAAGTGATGACACAATGCACAGTTATATTCCGTTTTACCCACTTACTGTAAATGTACGCGACTTGGATTAACAACCTGTATTAATACATAGAAAGCTACTCTGGCGTTATTTTGATATATGCGCATATTTCAACGTACGTAGCAGTGGCAATGTGTTCGTGTTAAAATCTGTCTATAATCACTCGTTTTTGTATTAGTCCACATTATATGTACCTATTATTATGTGAACGTAATAACTCACTGTAAATCTGTTCTTTGCGAAAAACCGTGACGGTTACCTAAATCGAAGGCGGGAATACTATAACATATATAAACGAGCCGGATATCGAATATTATTATACATCTGTCACCGTAATGCCATAAGTTACAGCGTGCCGTAATTTTGCGGTATTTTACGGGGTATTTTCATCCTACCATATTAGGAGATGCAAATTCCAAATATGGAATGATTACGCGCTTAAGCGTTCTAATAATAAAAACAAACATGGCTGCCACCAGGGTTTGACCGGACTCCACACAGAAAAGTTCGCTGATCTGTTCTAAACTATTTGGATTTCAGCATTCCCATGATGTATTCTTGAAAGAAAAGATGTATAATAATAAGTTTATTACGAGAATACCTCAAAGTATGCACTCAGACAGTACACCGTGCATCGACCTCCCCTGCGCGTCGGTCGATACATCAGCTGTACTGTCTTCGAGCATACTTTGAGGAATCCTCGTAATAACTTCATAGAATATCTGGCGGTTATTGCTATTTTATATTATACCAGCATACCAATTGCCAGTTTCAAGTTATTTGATAGAATATGAAATTGCAAAACAATCGGATTAATAATTAGTTAGTGTAAGAAAGCTTACACATACCGTGTATCAACATCTGTTCTTAATCATCTTTCTTTTGATTATAATTAGGGAGACATACATATCATTATTATCAACTTACTATTAAAAAAAACAGAACAACATCGCACAACAACAACATTATCATTTATCCCCTATTTCTCAGAACTGTTCGAATATATTAATTACCCACATATTTATTCTCGGTTTTACAAGCATAAAACAACATTTTTAAAACTGGATTTTGACAAATACTACAAACACTTGGAAAGATTCCTGGTCTCTTCAATGGGATATAGTGCCAACCAATCACAACGGTGTGTACAGAAAATATGACATATTTGTAATATTTGCAAATAATAATTTCCGTGGTTTACGCTAATATAACAATCGTACATAGATTTAAACATTATTCTTCTCACAATGACTTATTTTAGTGTAAAAAAATCGTTATCACAAAGAACAAAGTGCATTTTATAATCTCTGCAACTGAATGTTAGTGTACGGTTGACCGATTTTTGATTGATGAAAAGATGTGCGCATGCGTATACGTCAAGATTCGTTTTATTTTATTATTGCTTTTTTAGGATCACCCAATAAAAGAAAATTTTCGTTGCTAAATTCGGTCTTTTTAAAAAAATGTATTTGTTATCAACAGAATGTGTAACAGCTGAGACCATACCATACTACACTGTGTAAAGGGGTGTGGGTCAATAATTAATTGAGGGGACATAAAAGGTTTGTAATTAAACATGTTTTTATTCTTTTAGGGTAATCTTGCAAATATTATTTGAAAATAGAAAGACAGTTCTTTGAAATGATATTTAAATACCCTATTTTTTGTTTTCGAGAATGTAATTAAACTCATATCATATCGACCCATTGCGGTTAAAATTGTATTTTTGACACGTACATATCAAGTGACAGGCGGCGTGCACATGTCCACCATATGCATGTCGTGTACTACCGTGACCAAGCATCAAGTTTGAGACTTTTCATGTTTAAACGCCAAGATATTGTGGCCATACACCAATCAGATATAATAAAATCAAATCATTATTTCTAAATACCAGGGACCATGCTAGACATTGTTGTGAGAAGCTAAGACGTATTCTGGCACGGCAATTTAATAATTTAATAATAAACAAATGTACAAGAACACAGAGCAAAACTTTATAATGTTAATACAAGTAGCAGATACACCCAGCGTATTCTGAACGACTGAACTAAAGGTAGTTTATGTAAATTAAATTCTAAATCATTTACATGCCTTATATCCGTGTTTAAAATCTACATACTATGAACCCGACATGCACCGTTTATCATTGTAAATCCGAACAACGCTGCCGAAAAATACTGAACGACATTCGATCGTGACGGGAAACTCGACATACCATTGTATGCTTATTTAGAATGTGTCTTATGTCAGAAATTTCGGCTTATTTGCCACCGTTTTTCTTATTTTTCGACATTAAACATACAACAACAGTAGATGTGAAACATACACATCTCGTTAATTTGGTTTATAATTAACCATACTTGATTCAAGAACCCGTCACACACCCACACCCACACCAAAATCGTTTCACCCATGAGAGCGACATACACGCAGAAAATATCACAGTCTAGATTTAATATTGTATGCGTGATGACACTATTAATTTATGGGCTATAACATTAGTGAAATGAAACTATTATACATTTACCATAAGCGCAAATATGTTATTATATTCACATACCAATCTAACACTAGGCTGTTATACTGACACAAACCTAGGTGGTCTTTTTTACTTTGTGTTTTTTTGACCTACTATTAGGTTTCATTTTAGTTTACAGTTTCTGATAATTAAATAACTAATTGTGAGGACAACCCTCATAGTACTTTTTTTTTGAAAATTGCTTCGATGTCGTATATTAAAATGTAGTAAATTAAATGAAATGAGGTTTGAAAGCCACACACATGCTCTTTTGCCACACCCTCTTACCGTTGCCATGTAGCCGATAAGCGGCCATTTTGAATATAAATTTTCAATTTAAAAGTCAGTGTAACCATGGAGGTAAAAGACAGACTTTTACCTCTATGGTTTAACAGTTTCCAATTTTATCGACGATTCCGTCTAGAAGAAAGACAGAAAATATATTGTTTGGGTGTGTGGGTAATTAAGGTTAATATGAACTTGAACTAGAATGTTGTCATCGACGCAGTTCTTTTCGCAAATTATATTCAAAATGTTGGGGTTATCAGAGGATCTAATATTCTATAGCTGTATTTTTATTTGATATTTTTGAAATAAAATGTGTCTGTCATTACTTGATGATATTTAAGTAACCAACTTACTATGTTGACCACTAGCCATTGTCACGGTGAAAGCAGCTCCGAGAGTAGACTCAAACTGTCGCGATGTAATGGCGAATGATCATATAATTTTAACAATTTAATTCAAATAACAAACAAACACAGACCCAGTCTCTCTAAATCACTAGAGTCTATTGTCTGACAATGTACACGAAAACTAATATCTGGATTTGTATTGAGCATCCCGATCGTGGCGATCATAAATATTACCCCAAGACAAAGTTTGGTTGAACTTATCGGCTAACATCTGGTCGTACGGCTCGAAGAAATCGTATAACTTAGACTTGAGCTCATCGGGCACCTCACCTCTGATGCCAGCACCCTTGGTTTCACTGGCAACTTCTTTTTGTGATTTACTCTTTTTGGCAGGAGATGACTCTACACACATGTCTTGCGGGAATTTAAGGCAGTACTTGTGGTGGTCCTCGTCAAAAAAGAAATGGCTTTCATCGAAGTAGGATGGGAGGCCGAGGAAGTATTCCAACCGCTGCATCTCCCTTGCTGGATGTTTAGTAGCCGCTTCAGCATCTATAAGTAATATTTGGTCCATCGGAAAAGCGTGCATCCATCGCATAAAGTGCTTGAAATAGAGACTGCTGTCTACTAGGGCATTCAGGTGGTTTATGTTACCCGACCCACGATCAGTCACGGTTTTCTCCAAATTATCGGACATGTACTGCTCTATTGCTTCTGGGTTCTTGTCTTTCACAGCCAATGATACATAGTCAGCGATGAGCCTTTTCACAGGGTCACAGACTACAGCAACGATTCTCGTTTCCGGAGAGATTTCATCGCGTACTTTTTTCGGCACGTCATGCGGGACAATGAAATACTCGGGTGTCTTCTCGACAGTCAATTGGCTCTCCGTTGTGTATGGCATTTGTTTGCGATATAATTCAAGTCCCTTTTTGTAAGAGCCGCTGAAAAAATCTAGTGGCAGAAGAGACGTGCGCATTTCAATTGCTGGATGAAAGCGCAAAAACTGCAGAATTCGTCCTATTCCGCATTTACGCATCCCGATTAACACCGCCTGTGGTAGTCTCTGCTGACATCCTCTTTTCCGCAAATCTTTTTGATCCAACAACACTCGGTTGCTCAAGTCTTTCCTGTCTACTTTGTAACATGAATTGTTGAACTTGGAATCAATATATGCGTCTACGTCGTGTTTTGCTTCATACGGAACGGACTGGTATTTGGACTGTCGGTCGAGAGCTTCAACCAGCCTATCTCGGCTGGACGCAGCGGAGGACCCGAACAAGGGGAGTTGATGATTGCTAGCCCAAAAGTGTTCAAGGATGTACAGTACCCACATGGAACAACATATCAGAATCACGCCAAGCTCGAGACAGTGTGAGCGACAAAACTGTGCCAGTCCCCATCTTCGTATCGCCATGTTGTATATGAGAGAGAACAGTAGACTGGGTCCACTATTGTCTGAATGGATACTATCCAACCTCCACGTAACAACTGTGGAGAGCGCGTCAGCTGTACTACCGTAAATCCCCGTGGCCATGATAACAACGATTATAGTTTATCGAAGCAGTTGCATAGACTATGTAAAACCAATCAAAGCATCACAAAATAACATCTTTATTTATAACAATGAATTTTGGAAACCATATTCGTTTGTTGTTGACCATATAGCTAATATTTCCGGGCATGCAGACGACAATTGTGATTTTATCAATTGTTGGAGTCGATTCTAGAAATCCAATCTGCCTGGCGAACTGTCAGTGCGAATTGTAAATGATGATATTGACATCAATATCTACTCTGTATTATCCTATGTGTTTTGTGTAAAATTCAGTATGTATTTTCACTATTATGGTATTACGGTACTTGATAACATGGCTTGACGTGCGAACCGTTCATTTGTACATTTTGAAACTATGTTTTTTAACAACTAGGGTTAATAAATTTGATTCAGACATGCTTTCCATTAGTGCCACTACGTGCATTTGACCCACCATGTCCATGTCATAGCATCTGCCTTAAAAGGGGTCGCTCATTCTGTTACTTAATCTCTATACTTATTAATTCCGGCTGCTGCACGACCTGCATAGAAAGCGTGTATTTTCCATAGAAAAGAAACTCGCGCATTTAATGTGTATCCCTTTATTCATTCACAAAACAAAAACGTGTCCGTATTATCTACGGGTACTTAACGTAGGACATAACATATACTATCATTTCCGGTTCACTCAAAACTACTTCCTAAGTGGTGTTTGATTTCTGTGTGCACGATATAGACTAGTGTTTCATGGCCCGTGTACTGAAACACTTTTCTTCATGGCATATTTTGAGATGCACATCACGGAGAAAGGGTGGGGTGGTTATTATAGTATATTCGTGAACCCTTTTTAGACGGTTGAAATAAAAAGACACAACATGACAAACACTGGCAAAACAATAGTTTTTAGTTACTGTAGCTTTAATAATCAATCAGGAACCATTACCTTCAACAAGTCTGCTAAACAACACAATGTTAAAAAAATGAAAGAAAGCACGTTACTTAAATATGCATTTCTCGCAAGTAATGCCTCATATTGCACGTCATGGGGATATTACGAGGATACATCAAAGTATGCACTCAGACAGTACGCCGCGCAACGACCTCCGCTGCGCGTCGGTCGGCGACAGATGTATAATAATAATTATTATTGCAACGAAAATAAACATAACTCGTATTATTACATATATTATGTAGGCACAGTTTGGCAGTTACGACACGAAATTACAGACGTATATGTGTGGGTGCGATTTGATTGGGAAAATGCATCTCGCCACTGTACACTGTAAACAGAAGCACACCCGTTAGACCACAGCGCGTTGCACCCCCTCACATTTTAAAATAGTGGATTCAAGGATATATAATTTTGTAAACAAATTCTTCAATGGGAGTTTTTTCCAGGGTAATGGCGGTAAGCAGCACCCAGGTATAGAATGGTTCAAACGGCTGCTCAACTGATGACATTTTTGTTTCCCGCAATCTAGTTGGAAACATTCATCGGTGGTAAACAATAGGGTGAATCGTTAGTCAAGTCAGCTTACGCATGTTATAGTTGCAACCGTTGGAGGTTGATTTGTTTGGCATTTTGATTATGATTCCGGGTATATTCCATTCTGAAAGGAAATTATTATTAAAATGAAAACAAAACAAAAACATTTGTATTTGTAGAAAATCTATAAACTTTAAGTCTGGTATTCTAACAACAAAATCTTAGAGTAAGTTAAAGCGCAAATTCCGCGAAAGAAATACACTGCTATCAAAATTAGAAAATGTCTATCACTATATACATGGAAAACTATACCCGATGCAGTAAAAGTACATGGTAAAAAATCCACAACGCATAGTACATTAAAAAGCGACAAAGTATAAATCTACGAAAAAATCGTCTAGATAATGAGACATGTCACAACATACAATCTTACCTTTCAATATTTAGTCCAGTCAATTTATGGTTTGACCCATCACAAATTGCAACAGAAATAATTTCTTGCAATACATTCCCTGGAGGTGCGTAGATTGACATACCAAAAGTCTAAGAAAATCAGGCTTCGGAAATATACCTAATTTGCATATATTCAAAATGGCCGTTTGGTGCATTTTTACAACATAGAAAATATAACTATTAGGACATATCTTTAATTCTAGATGACATTTTTTAGATATTCAAGTTGCTGCGATATGGTTTGGTGTGTGTGAATGTATGTGATTGTGAAACATTTGATTGAATAACAACCATTTGCATAAATCCAATATGGCCGCCAAAATAGTATCATTTAAATGTTTTGGCATTCAGATGATATTATGTACAGGATGTAGATGCAAAACTATAATTTTGAAATAGAAGAAATGTTAACTAGTGTATGACCTTCTTATTAGAGATGCCTCATTTGCATAATTTATTCAAAATGACCACCAATATAACATTTAATCATGTTTTCACTTACAGGTGTAAGACATTGCAATTGTTGGGTTAATATTTGATTACAAGAAAAGTTAAATTTCAGGACAGGTATTATCATTGGGTAAGTATATAATTTGCTAGATTTAACATGACATTTTTGATTAATATTAAACTGCCAGCAATGAGTGGTCTATTTTTTACATTTATTTCAGACTGTTGTTCATTACGTGTCTGCAATGGATGAAGTAAGTAAATGTACTATATGTGAAAGGTCTTTTGGTGGTGAAAAATCAACTATCATTACCCTGGGTGTGAAAGGAAGTGTCGGTGTTAACAAAGCCAGTGAAGAACATGGTGACACTACTATTCATACTGTGCCTGGCCAACAAGTTCACAAGGAATGTCGTCGTATTCACTGCAATCCATTAAAAATAGCCAAAGCAAAGAGGCAGGTTGAGCAAGTCCAACTTCCGAGTACTCGTAAACTGCGTACACTTGAAAAAAGCTTCACCTTTTGCTCTGATTGTTCCTTCTATAACACTCCAATTAACTTCAAAATACGTGGAACGTATTTGCCAGTAACTACCATTGACTACAAAGGAGCATTATTGGCAACCTGCAGAGATGGGCAAGATACATGAAGTGTACATGACTTACCTGCTGCTGATGCTGTGTATCACCAGGTGTGCAGTGTCAATTTTCGTACTGGGAAGCAAATTTCTAAGATGTACATGGCTGGGCAAACTGTTTCCAAAAGAAAGAAGATGGGTAGACCACATGTTGAAGAAAGAACAAATGCATTTCTTGAAGTCGCACAGTTCCTTCAAGAAAATTATGATGAGCAAGTTACCATGAGTGTCTCATCGAGTTGATTGACAGATTTTAGTGGACTCTGAAAGTACAGCATATAGCCATACACAAATGAAGGCACAACTTAACGAACATTTTGTCAATCAGATAATAATAACCGAAATTAATGGAAAAGCTAATGTAGTCACTTTCAAGACAACTGCTGAGGCTGTTCTCCAAGAATGTCATGCTCGCCAGGAGACGGACCCAGAGAGAGAGAGAAATTTAACATTATAGAAGCAGCTGCCAAGTTAATTAGAGATGATATAAAATCAATCGAAACGTGTAATGATACATACCCACCCTCTAGTGTAATGGAATCGAAAGAAAAATGTCTTGCATTTGTACCAGAGTCTCTCAAGTGTTTTTAAAAGAAATATTCGTTGGGAAAGACATTGGAGTGAAGCTGGCATCAATTGGACAGGCTATTAAACAAGCATCTCGCCCCAGGGTTCTGTAGTTCATACTTAGAGACACAACGATTTGGACAGAATGCAGCAATATATCAAGGAACACAATGTGGATCATAACATAAGGACCTTGGATGGAAATGATACATTTCATGGTATAGGGATAATAGCTACTGTCACTCCAGGCACTAAGCAAACCAACTGTATTCCAAGAGAAAATGTTAGTCCACAAGATATATCCACAACAGGACACATTCAAATACAGTTCCATGTAGTCGAAGGCCAAGGTATTGCTGAAGTGAAGTACAGGGATACAGTCCTCAAGACAGCTAGAGATCCAATAGCAAATCTCGACATCATTTGGAAGACATCACTCTTGTTTGGTCCCTCTAGACTTGCTTGTTCAAGATTGTTACAGTTTGTTCATCATGGCAACCATCCTAGTAAATCAACAGTGGTATTCCTCCCAATGATTGACATGAGTTAAAGTGATATCACATGCGTCTTCTCTACTCTAAAGTTTATCACTGAACATGCAGAGCGTCACAATGTAGCACCAATTGTCACTTTTGACCAGCCACTATGGTGGAAAGCTTTCACATTTGTAGTTGCCGCACCCATGGAAACCAATTTACGTAAAATGGTTTTATGTCTAGGCGGATTGCATACTGAAATGAGTTTTCTTGGGAGCATTGATCTAATGGTAGGTTCTGGTCTGGTAGAGCTTCTGGAAATAATATATGCCCCAAAGGCAGTTGAGCAAATTGTTGCTGGTAAGGCCATTTCTAGGGCAGTAAGAGCTCATCTATTGGTTGACGCAGTTCTTAATGCATTAATGCTGTCCACTGCATTAGATGTATCCATTCCATGTGATTCAGGTGAATCAAGTATCACATATAGTACAGATGGTGATGGTGAGCAAGATGATGAGTTGATGAAAGGGGATAAGTCGGCAGAGGAAGCCAGTGCAGCTGAAGTTCTGGACAGGATCAAAGACCAGCTCGATAAACAGAAAAAGTTAATGAAGAATAATCGAACAGCTACACTATGGTTACAATACATGGAAATGGTGGACATCCTTAGAATGTTTATCAAAGCTGAACGCATAGGAAACTGGGCTTTACATCTCCAAGCTGTGCCAGAGATGCTTCCTTACCTAGCTGCCTCGGGACACAATTCATATACAAAATCAGCTAAATTGTATTTGCAATTCATGTCTAGCCTTGAGAATGATCACCCTGATATATATCAGAACTTTGTAGCTGGGTTATCATAGAGCAAGTATTGATGAGAAGCATGAAAACGAATGGTGGACTCACGGGAGGCAGGGGCATGACTGAACA